TCTACTAGCTAGTCTATTAACTACGGATTAGACTATTAACTAGTCTATGGACAAGTCTATTTACTAGACTATGGACTAGTTTATTAACTAGTCTATGGACTAGTCTAAATAGTCGATTTTATAATCTATGACTAGCATATTAAGTAGCCTTTGGATTAGTCTATTAACTATTCTATTTGGTAGAATATGAACTAGTTTATTAACTAACTTGTACTAACTAGTCTATGGACTAGTCCATTACTAGCCTATGGACTATTTTATTAACTAATCTATGCACTAGTCTATTAACTAATATATTTACTGGTATATAACTAGTGTACGGAATAGTTTATTAACTAGTCTGCGGAATAGTTTATTAACTAGTCTACGGAATAGTTTATTAACTGGTCTATGTTACTAGTTGTTAACTAGTCTATTAACTAGTCTATTTACTAGTATATGCACTAGTTTATTAACTAGTCTATTAGCTATTCTATGGACAAGCCTATGGACTAGTCTATTAACTAGTTTGTCAACTAGTCTACGAAGTAATCGATTAACTATTCTATGGACTAGTCTATAGACTAGTCTAGTCTATTGGCTAATCTATGGACTAACTTATTAAGTAGTCTATGAATTAGTCTATAAACTGGTCTATTTAGTATTCTATGAACTAGTTTATTGTTTAGTGTATTAACTAGTCTATGGACTAGTGTATTAACTAGACTGTTAACAAATCTATGGGCTTATACTAGTAACTAGTCTATTTACTGGTATATAACTAGTCTACGGAATGGTTTATTAACTAGTCTATGTTACTAGTTGCTAACTAGTTAACTAGTATATTTACTGGTATATGTACTATTCTATGGACTAGTCTATGAACTTGTGTATTAACTAGACTATTTACTACTATATGTACTAGTTTATTAATTAGTCTATTAACTAGTCTATGGACTAGTCTATTAACTAGTCTATGTACTAGACTATGAACTAGTGTATTAACTAGTTAGTCTATGGACCGGACTATGAAGTAGTTAATTACCTGGTATATTTAATAGTCTATGGATAAGTCTATTAAGTAGTTTATGGATTATGAACTTATTCCGTAACTTGTCTATATAATAGGCAAGGGCGTACATCAGATCCTGAGATATATAGCAAAATTGTTAACCATTTTTAAATTAATTTCCTGCAAAACGAATAAATCTTTTAAAATAACTTAAATTTGATGGGCTACACTAATACCCTTTTATTTATATACAAATCTAACACAGATATTAAAATGTAGGTTTATTAACATATTATGTGATTTGCTTGAAACATATTTTTACTCGTATGTGAATATCTGTACGTAAGTATGTATGTAAATCTGTAAAGGTCTATATTTTTAGTTTGAAATGCAGGTCGATGTTGTTATATGACTTTTGAATACTATAAACATATGAACAAATGCTTAGCAGAGTGTGTATATTTTTACTCTTTAGTCTCTTTGCTATTAAAGGAGTATTTTTGTTTTAGCCTTGCATTGTCCTTTTTTATATGTATACGTACATATGTATGTATGTATATATTTTCATTATACAGTTACAACAACCTTCATATAAATATATTGAATTGTTTATAGTAAGTGCGTATGCAGTCGTATAACCTGTTGAATGTCGAAGTTTTTAAATATTGCTGTACTAAGTTACGGATTGAGACAGCTACTGAATAACGATATTTAAGTCTAAAATATAGACTGGTCTATTATCTAGTCTAGTCCATAGTCTAGTCTATAGTCTAGTCTATAGTATAGTCCATAGTCTTGTCTATAGTCTAGTCTATAGTATAGTCTATAGTCTAGTCTATAGTATAGTCCATAGTCTTGTCTATAGTCTAGTCTATAGTCTAGTCTATAGTCCAGTCTATAGTCTAGTCTATAGTATAGTCTATAGTGTAGTCTATACTCCAGTCTATAGTCTAGTCTATAGTCTAGTCTATAGTATAGTCTATAGTCTAGTCTATAGTCTAGTCCATAGTCTAGTCTATTGTCTAGTCCATAGTCCAGTCTATGGTCTAGTCTATAGTCTAGTTTATAGTCTAGTCTATAGTCTAGTCTATAGTATAGTCTATAGTGTAGTCTATAGTCTAGTCTATAGTCTAGTCTATAGTCTAGTCTATAGTCTAGTCTATAGTCTAGTCTATAGTCTAGTCTATAGTCTAGTCTATAGTCTAGTCTATAGTCTAGTCTATAGTCTAGTCTATAGTCTAGTCTATAGTCTAGTCTATAGTCTAGTCTATAGTCTAGTCTATAGTCTAGTCTATAGTCTAGTCTATAGTCTAGTCTATAGTCTAGTCTATAGTCTAGTCTATAGTCTAGTCTATAGTCTAGTCTATAGTCTAGTCTATAGTCTAGTCTATAGTCTAGTCTATAGTCTAGTCCAGGGGTCGGCAAACTTTTGAGTCGGAAGAGCCAAAAATTACAGTTTACAAAACATATGTTTTAAAAGAGCCACAAAATTGTTGTTTATTAAAACTTTACAAATACGTTATGAATTCACTTCAAAAACATAAAGTTGGTTTAATTATCTACAGGACATTCTGCAAGGAATCTTTCTTATAGATTTTTGACTACAAATACTTTTTGAATTTTTATGGGTCATACGAATGCATTTTTTAAACACTCGTTATATAAAAATATAGAATTTTATTAGAGTAGGGCGACATTGTTATCAATTAGAAGGTATTTGGAAACATATCAGGAAATGTATAAATCACGAAAATGATGACGCAGCTAAGTATAAAGTAATATATTAATTTGGCGGCAATCGAGATAAATATTTTACCAACCCCAATATTAGGTCCTTTTCAGAAAATGACTAACGATCATAATTGACTTAACAGTAGCAATATAGCGGCGAAATTCAAAATATACAACTTTTATAAGAACAAAAATCTATCTTCCAAATTTGATTTTAACGTTCATAACTGTCTTAATAATAGCAGTATTATGACAAAATTCAACACAAACATAACATAAACATAATTGATCAATCCCCTTTTAAAAGGTCTACTTCGGAAAATAACTTTAACGTTCATAACTGATTTAATTAACGCTCATAACATGCTTAATAATACCAGCATAGTGGTGCAATTCGTCATAAACAAGTTTATAGGAACAAAAATTCTTTACCAAATTTAATAACATGGATTCAGAATTGACCCTACCCACCCATATAGTGTCCACTTTCGAAAACGACGAAAAATACAAGTATAGTGATGAATATCAACACAAACAAGTAGGATCCAAAATTTCATTACCAAATTTTGTAAGGATGGGTCGGTCCATAATACGCTTTCTGGTACCTTATTTATAGCCAAAAATTGTATGTCAAAAATATATCAATCTTTTATAGATCACTGTAAAACGTTTCTAAAACGCGCAATATTTAAATATTGAAGTTTTTAAATAGAATAAGTTTTTAGTATTTACCCAGCAAAAACTCGGTAATGGGTTGTACCTACTTCCATAACCACTTACTTTTCAATAACTACTACTTACCGTCTGCATTACTTAGAAGTACTCTAGTAATGACTTTCTTATAATCTGATATAGAAGTACTTTATTTTCGGCTTTGTCATTTTGTTTGCATATTTTATTTAATTGCGTTTTAAGAATTGTGTTTTACAAAAAATAAAACAAAATTAATTTTGATTGTGAAAACCATTATTTGATGCGCAATAAAAAAGCTAAGGAGTGGTACAGTGTGTAGAACATTTGACTAAAAAATCGAAGTCCCTGGTTCGTATTCTAGCTGGATCTGTTTATTATTAAAAACAAAACAACTTACTCAACAACTGTTTTGTAAGAGAAATTGCAAGTACTTCTTTAACTTCCTATAAGTAAGCGTGCATAGAAGAACTTGCCTCCAATCACATCACCGTGTTAAAATAATGACTTAAAATGCTAATGAAGAAGTAGTGAAAAGAAATTTTATTAGCTTTTTAACTCATACTTTTCAATGTAAGTTTTTCCTGGGTAGCTGTGTTCAAACTCTCTACATTATTAAGTAATTATTTAATTACTATATTTTCAATTTCCAAAAAATATGTTTTAATTCGAAAAACACGAAGATTTCGGAATGTATGATTATGTTTTACATTTTATCTAATGGCACATCGTAAGAGCGCTCATGATACCCCATCGTTTATAGGGAACTTTTTCAACTAAAATTTAAATAATTAAAAATTTTCTTACAATACTAACTTGTACATGGAACAAATTCAATAGGAGAGATAGGTTTGTATAGCTTTAGAAAGTATGGATCGTAACGTGTTGTTTAAAGTTTCACAAACAACTCTAAACTTTCATTTGTTAGTTGTCTCACATACAGAACGATTAAACAATGTTGAAATGTTGTGTATATTGTAGAAACGTTTGCGAATTGTTTTGTTAGTTTTAACAAACACTGCTAGTTAATCTATTCAGAAAGATATATATTTTTTTATAAAATAAAAAAATTGCGTATGAAACTAAAGAGCCATAGCTCCACATCCAAAGAGCCGCATTTGGCTCGCGAGCCGTAGTTTGCCGACCCCTGGTCTAGTCTATAGTCTAGTCTATAGTCTAGTCTATAGTCTAGTCTATAGTCTAGTCTATAGTCTAGTCTATAGTCTAGTCTATAGTCTAGTCTATAGTCTAGTCTATAGTCTAGTCTATAGTCTAGTCTATAGTCTAGTCTATAGTCTAGTCTATAGTCTAGTCTATATTCTGGTCTATAGTATAGTCTATAGTCTAGTCTATAGTCTAGTATATAGTCTAGTCTATAGTCTAGTATATAGTCCAGTATATAGTCTAGTCTATAGTGTAGTCTATAGTCTAGTACATAGTCTAGTCTATAGTCTAGTATATAGTCTAGTCTAGTGACGACTATTGTACTCGTTTATTGCCTAGTTTGTTTTTTAGTCTCTGTTTTAGTTTACAGTCTAGTCTTGAATCTGGTTTTAAAGCAAAATGAAGGTTATGGGATCTGTGAAAATGTTTACATATATTTATTTTATACTATTACCAATTTTTATGGTTTATATATTTTTTAAGTGTGCCAAACTTTAAATTATTCTATAAACTCCAGTTTAATTTAACTTAGGTCTTATCATCATTTGCACAAACTTGAGAGCATAATTTAAACCTCGAAATTCAGACCAGGACATGCCACCTTTAGTTTCTTTAATTTTTCCCATTAAATAAAGACATTCAAATTGCTGAAATACATATTTAAAGGCAAATAAAAATATTACGGATTGCATTAAAAGTATATAACTACATTTTCCACACCTATTATAACAGCTATGATACCACCAACCAGCTTTCCACTTGTAGGCACAATTTCCAGTCGAATTGTCATTATCCCGATCATAGGTTGAGAACTTATAACCGTTATGCTCGCTCAAACTATCTCCTGCATCTCCCGAATAATCACTCACTGTTAAATTGTATTCTGTGCTGTTCGAAGCAACTTTAAATTCACCATATCTTGCATATTTTCTTTCTCCTTCAAAATCTTCTAGTATTATATACAATTCTTGTGGTTCTCCCAGAGAAGTCAGCGCATAAAGTGTCTCTAATCCAATAAAAAATTCGCGATTTAAATCTCCAAAACCCTCGACGTACTCTATCCAATTTCTATT